GACCATAAAAAGATAATTTATTAATATATATTCATTAGATTTTAGTTTATTCATGGTTAAGTTGACTATATTTTATAAAAATTTATTAATATTTTAAATTATTCATTAAGCTAATATAATTCAAACATAATAATTTTCATTATTTTATTATATATTTTAAGTGTTTTTGATTGATGATAATAATTCATATCTACAACCATGAGATGATAACAAAACTAATCAAAATATTTTTATAATTATAATGGGTATTTTGTTTTTTTAAATTATGTCAACAAAATTACTATGAAATTGGTAATATTGGTCTTATTCAAAATATATTTAATCAATCAATCATTCTATTTAAGTGTGTGTGTGTGTGTGTTTTTGTTTATATATTACTGTTGATTTATATATATATATATATATATATATATATGGGTTAATAACTTTTTCTCATCTGAACTATCACGATTTTGGCGCATCAGATATATTTTTTCCTCACAGGAAAATATATCTGATAACTATGTGTACATGGGCCAGTTATCATTGATTTATAATGTAACTACTTAGTTGAAAAGATCATTGTTGATTTCTTGAGTCATATTCAAGAAAATCTAATCTCATAATGTTCAGATGCGCCAAAATCGTGATAGTTCAGATAAGAAAAAGTTATTAAAACAATTAATTTATCTTTACAAATCTTTGAGACCAAATTTTACTTCAAGCAATAATTAGTTTAAATATTTTCAAAGTCGTACTAATACATTTATATCTTTGAGTATATTATTAAAAAATTAATTTATCTTCGCGAATCTTTAAGACCAAATTCTAACAATAATTGGTTTAAATCTCCTCAAATTCCTTAATGAACTAACCAATTTTGGTTTTATATAATAAATGAATGTTTAATAGTAATTGCCAAATTTAGCTGAAATATTTAGGCGGAAACATTTGTGACAAATATAGTAAAATGGATTGATCTATTATATAGATATAGATATAGATATAGATATAGACTGTAATCTTACAAAAAAGGGGCATTCTCTGGACACCACTTGTAATCTTACCAAAAAAGGCATTTGTCTGTGGAGAAGGACCTGAATACCAAGAACATTTTCTCTTTAAAGTGTCCTCGTGCCAGGAAGATATGGAAATTGGCTCTTATCATTTGGGAAGGCCTAGACTTTGAAACATGGAGCTTCAAAGGTTAATGGTCCAAAGTCTATTCTCTCAACACGTCCTCAACCTCAGATCAAAGACTTCATCTAACGTCTTACTTGCTATGGTGGATTTGAAAAGGTCGCAATCTCTGGGTCTTCCAAGAGATTAGGAGAGATGAAAAAGCTTGGGTGGATCGTGCTTTGAAAGATTGGACTAAATTATCCTCCTTAAGGTCTTAGTTGTTTGGTTGTTTTGGCTCTGTAGGTTGGTTAGTATGTTAGTGGAGTGTCTGTTGCTCTTGTTTTTGTTCCTCTTAGTTTTGGTTTTTTGTTGTTTTCATTTAGTGTTGTGTCCTCTCTCAGTTGTCGAGTTAGCCCAAGGAAGGTAAGGCAGGTGCTCTGTTTCTTAGTTGTGTCTTTGCCGAGTAGTTGTACTCCCTTCCTTGTTAGTTTTCGGTTTAATGTTTGTTTAGGACACTTCGAGTGCTCCTCCCCGTATTCTTTGCAGAAGTACGTTTAACTAGTTGACCAACCTGCTTGTACTTTTACTTTGAGTAATAGTATCTATCGTTCTAAAAAAAATGTAGGGAACACTAGCTCCCATTATGTTTTAATCGGTACATAAAAAAACTATTTTCTATTAGTTTTAGCTAAATGGCCTCTTATTTAATATTCAAGTTGATTTTAATTACTTCCAATCCAAAATTAGGTTCGGATTATCCATAATTATGTTGATTATTTATGGTCATGTTACATGTAATAATTGTATTTTAATAGCATTTCTTATTATAACCATTGAATCGTAAATATATTTTAAAAGTTAATAACTTTTTATTTTTTATCATTTTTATATATATAATATATCAAATTAATCATCTCTTGATGAGCTTCGATTTAATATCCATATTTTATGTATAAAAAAATAAATTACATTTATTTTTATAACAAAAATAAAATTATTTTTTAATATTAGTTAGAAAAATAAAATTGTTAATCAATTAATATATTTATATTTCAAGTAGTTATATGATATAAGTTAAAAAAAATATTTATAATATAACACATGTAAGTCACACAAGTAACAAGTGTCATTCCAAAATATATAATAATATATATTCTTTGTGAAAAAATAAATAAAATTTAAAATAATGCTTCTCATTAATTTGAAAATTTAATAATAATTTTAACAAGCACGCGTGTAATACACGGGTATTGTACTAGTGTAATATTAATATCGAAATGAAAGTTATCAAAAGATGATTAAATCAATTTTCATAATATAAAAGATTTATTAAAATTAGAAGGAAAAAATCTATTGATATTCAATTGGAGAAAAATGTTAGATTTTACAGATTTGGGAAAGGGATGCGGTCTCATTTGGTAAAACTAGAGGACGAGACTAGTAGATACTTTAGTGTGGCTCTATAGTGAGGCAATTGAGATGAGAGGAGTAACTCACTAACATATAATTTAGGCTCATTTTTACTATTTAATTAGTGCAACTCAAAAGCGATATTCCTACACCAGCTTACATGTAAGTCATTTCATCATTCTAGATTTGACTTGGTTAATCAAGATGTCAAAGGTTGTACATCAGAAGTACTTTGGTACCAGATTAAAACAACTTACATGTAAGTCATTTCACCATTCTAGATTTGACTTGGTTAATAAAAATGTCAAAGGTTGTATATCAAAAGTACTTTGGTACCATATTAAAATTTATATATTCAGGAGAAATGGTGTGGTTCCATAAGTGTGAAACACACTTCTAAAGGGCGAGTTAGTGGTTCTACCTAGGGCTGCAAACGAGTCAAGCCGAGTCGAGCATTGGCCCTATCGAGCAGGATTGAAATTTTTTTTTAGCTGCTCGAGCTCGAGCTCGATTTATGAGGCTCGAGCTCGACTTGATAAAAAAATACAAGAGCTCAACTCGAATTCAAAATGCTAGAGCTCGGCTCGAGCTCGTTTCGATTGTTTTCAAACGATTTTGTAAAATAACCATTAAGTATATATATACACAAGGGGTTTTTAGTAATTTCATATATCTCGAGCTCCTCGCGAGCCGCTCGACAATGCAAAATATGGACTCGAGCTCGACTCGAACGCTCGCGAGCTGCTCGGCCCGTTTGTAGCCCTAGTTCAGTAGTTCTACCACAAAATTAGGTGGCAATGAGAGAAGTAATTCATTAATTTTATAAACTAGGTCTTTTTAACGCGGAACGATATGATATTAAAAAAATAGAGAAGAAAATAAATATTAAGCTATATGGATATTTAAAAAAGGGCAAACTCAAAAAGCCAATTTTTTTTTTAATATAAAATAAATATGATGGGAAAAGTATTAATCCTTTTCCAATAAATGTTAATCCCCTCACTATTGTAGAATAGAACTTGTTAAAATGAAAGAGTGGTACACTCCTAATATCTGATTCAGCCACATGAGATGCTATATGAGTGAGTAACTACCTCCACTAGTAACCAGAAAATTGTAATAATAATAGCTCAAACCTCAAATTAATCAAAGTCCCATTTTCCAAAGATCTGGAGTGGTTTCGAATTCCCAACTCCCCCCTCTGTTCGGGTCATACCAAATAACGCACTTTCCAACACCATCAAACAAACTAGCAACAACGAGGAAGTTAATAAAAGAAAAATATTCCCAAAATTAATGTGAGAAGTTAATATTAAATAAATATACTAATAAACATTGGTAAGATTATAGTCAGTAATAATTTTCTTTTTAGAAAAAAATCATATTTTTCAAAAAGAAATATCATATCTTAAAAAGTAATACAGTAAAGTATTATTTTTCTTAATAAAAATTAAATATATATAATACAATCTTATTTATATTAATAAAAGGTGGACTTCTAGATAATCAGTTATTTCGTATGACCTTAAGGCTCATGCTAAACTATTCGAATCAAATATCAAATTCGAATTTATTTGGCTGATAGTAATATAATCTAACTCTATAAATTATTCTTTAGCAGTCTATGAATTAAACAACGAAACTTGTAGTAACAACTACCAATTTACATCCGGAATTATAAACCAAGCTCCAATTAGTACGTTATTAACAAAAATGAAATGATAAATGTGTATAATAATAATTCCCACCTAAACGTTAGACGTCAGCCTATCATCCCTATCGATTTTTCTGCTAAATTACCTTGTGAATGTGTATATATATAAAATGCATTAAATTAATCTTGTTTAAGAAGGGTTCCTTCAAATTTGAGTTGTGGATATTTATGACAATAGAAAAAGCAAAGCAATAAATAAATAAATGAAGGCAACTGACATTTGAAAACACCGATAAAATAAAAATCGAAAAAGAGAATATCACGTTATTTTAATGAACCACCCCTCTTCCGTTGGCCTCCCCTTCACGTCGTCCAAGATACCACGAGGGAGCCGAGCCGAGCCGATTCTATACCCCCACGCACTCACCATCTGATCTCATTTTTTATTATTATTATTATTTTCTTTTTTTTACACTTTTCTCTATGATCGATTTGAATCATATTTTGATATTTTCAACTAATTAAAATTTATCAATTTAATAAAATCTCCTTTGTTTCCTAGAAAGAAAACAAACTGGTGGATAGGAATGCATCTCCAAGCCATGAATCTAAAACCCAACAATGTAGTATGTAAACAAATATTTATATTTAATATAGTACTTATCTGTTTTGGATTTCTATTCGCGATTATTATTACAAATTGATGATAATTATTAATTATTCTCCATCAATATTTATATTTCTTTTTTTGGTTCCTTCCTTCCCTTGTGCATAAAAAAGAAGAGACACAGATTCTTGAAAACTGCAAAAAGTAAGAAATTTGACAAGAAATACAAAATCCCTCCTCCATCAATCATAACTACTTTTTTNCGGAGATCTATATATTTAATTTTGTAGTAATAATTAGGATGTGTATTTTTTAATTAAAGACAATAAAAGAAGTTAGAGAAACTTCCAGGCAAAAACAAAAAGCAAAGAGAAAGGGTAAAAACATTGCAAAAGAGAGCAGACGGACAAAATTTTATTCAACTTTTGCCGGCTTTTATCAGAGCTTTTCCTTGAGCAGAGCGGCCAAGCCGGTGACCACCGCTTCATTGCCCCTGCCGGACCTCCTCGGCCTGACCGCCGGTAACTGCCACGTCACGGACGGCGGCGGCTCCGGCGAAGCATCTCCGTCGCCGAAGATCAAATCTAGCTCGCCGGCGGATACTTCCCTGCTTTCCGGGTCGGTTTCGGGTCGGGTCGCCTCCACCACCCGGGTGTAAGGCCCGAGCCACTTGGACTTGACGTACTCGACTTTGCGCCAGGGCGCCACGTGCATCCCCTTCTTCTTCAGACTGGACCGGGCGGCCTCCGAGGCGATGGTCACGATCTGTGCGAGCCGGTCGGCTTTCCCCACAAATATGTAGGGCAAGCACTGCAGAACCGCCTGGTAAGCTTTGGTGGACCGGGCAATCTCGAACTCCGACCGGAAATCAACGTCTATTATCACCCGCTCATCTTCCACCATCACCTCCGTGTACTCGTACTGACCTGTGTAAAATAATCAGTTCAAAAAAAATAAGAAATTAAAATTAAGCCTCAATAGATCCAGTAATTATTGAAATTGAATTGTAAAACAAGCTTGGGGTTATTAATTTTTACCGGCTGGAATGGAGGAAGATTTTTTCCATTTGGATTTACAAACAGAGGCGTCATAGCCGAGAGCAATTAGACCGCCGGTGATGATTTTTCTCAATTCATGTTTCCCTTTGCAGTTTCTGTTGTGCTTCTCCACGATTCTCCAAGTATCGGCCAGCAGATTTCTCTCTGTCACGCTCTCGCACGGAATCAAGCTCTGTATGTATTGTATAGGTAAAGCAACCACAAATCAGAATATTGTAACCAGAAAAGTACTAAACCGGAAAAGTGAAAAGGGAGAGAGGAAAGTTGCGTATTGTACCTTGAGTGTATCACAAGGGTCGGTAAAGGAAGAATTAGGGGTGAGCGTGTCGGAGAAGAAATCAAGCTCGTCGTCGGAGCTGTCGTTGCTGTTGCCGTTGAAGCAGTTGCAGCGGTTCCGGGAGCATTTCACCGCCGATTGTTTCTCGCTGCTGCCTTCAATGAAGTTCTGAACCATTTTGTCAAGGCAGACAGAGCTCGGCTCGAACTCAGCCGCGCCGCCGCCGCCGCCGGCGGTCGTCTTCTCCGCCGACGAGGTTTTGAGGACGCCGTTGAAGGGGCGGTCGAAGAGCCGCCTCAGGCGAGATCTGAGTACCGGTGGCTTCACGGCGTCGCTTGGGATGGAGTCGATCGGCTGGATCCTCATAGGGAAAGGCATTTTTTTTTTTTCTTCTTTGAGAAAACTCTACTGTCAGGCCTAATTACGCTCTGCCCTTCTGTCAGTTAAATTATTAAGATCTTACCACTGCTAAAAACTTATCCACTAAAATTACAGAAAAAAAGTTCAGTTTCTGTGCACTAATCTCAACCTCGAATCATCCGATCACAATCAGTTCCAACAAACACACAAAGAAAAACACTATCATTTAATAATCTATAAAACACAAAAAAAAAAGTAAATGGAAATTAGAAATTCAGAGATTTCGAGAACGGTTTTTCATGAAAAAAGTGGCGGTGATGAAAGGACACATTAACATTGTGTTTGCAAGGTACAGATCCGATACAGATGGCCGGACAATTCATTTTCCGGCAACGGAGATGGTCAGATATATAAAACAATATTTGATTGCTCTTATTTTCAGTTCTCTCTCTTCTTCAAAATGTTATTTGGTTAATAGTACACAAGAAGATAAAATGAGAGGGGGAATATATAGGAACAGAAATCTGCTGACGAAGACTAGATTGCCACGTGGACAATAACGTGGCGTGTATTAACCTGAAGACGGAAGCTATAATCTGCTACGACGCGGCTTGCCATCTCTTAATCTTTCAAATATCTCTTATCTTAACTCGTGCTTTCAAAAGTTAAATGGAGATTAGATCGTGTGACATTCCTCTCTATTTCTTATATTATGTTCCACCTTTTTTTTTGGTTCATTTTTTCTTTTTGTAACTCAAAATGAAATTTGCATTTAAGGATCCTCGTTTTGATTGTTTTACAAACAATATATGGTCAATGTAATGTATGGTTTTGATGTATATATTGTAAATGTATGGTTAAAATTTGACTCAATGAAAAATCTAATTAATGTTGTTAATTATATTTGTACATATAATATTATTCTAAGATTAACTTTCTTATCTTCAATACATCAATTTAATAAAAAAATATTTGTTAATTTAATAAGAAATTATTTGTTTAGACGAAACAAACAAAATAATTTATCGTACTAGACTAACCAAAATTTTAACGAAATATAAACTTAATTAAAAAGTTATCATGATTAATATGATGTAAATCTTAAAAAGTGACTCAATCAAGGTTAACATTTCTCAACTCAACTGACAAGGTCCAAGGCAAGATGTACTGAACAATTATGCATACATACATTTACAATTGGTGATGTGAATTATTGATATGATCTAAATTCAGGTTGAAGATGCTCTTTTTAATCTATAAGCTCTTATAAATCATTTGCAGATTCCAGGGAATAGTAAAAAACAATGTTCTCCATATAATTTTCTTAAATATTATGTACCCAAAACTTTCATCTACTATTTACTCGACTTTAACAAAATCACTTGTATGTGGACATTGTAAATATCATGTTGTGAAAAGAAATATAATTTTTTTTGAATTGTGTGTATCCAAAATTTTTATTTAATAAAGTTTACTGCTCAAAATAAATACAATAAACACCCGCAACACATATCATGCGTGCACCTACCCTCATTTTTTCACCTGGTGCAGTTATATTGTAAACAAATTCAAAATATTGTTTTTCCCCGTTTTTTCTTTATATTAAGGCTTTTATACTATCTTTTCATTTTGTAGCTATTGACGATGAAATGTAGTGGGGAATAAATAGAGTACAAACAGTGTGTCTAAATACAGAAATTCAAAGCGAAAAAACGCATAAAATAAAAAACATTTTCAAAGAGTATCCCACTACCCCATCAAAACTCTTTCATTAATAGATTGGTTTGCTCCCGATCCACAACTTAGAATTACGAAAATAAAACTCCCTCCTAATCTTGGAGTTTAAGATTAAGAGAAGCCATATGGTTTTACACCCTATAGCCCCCCAAGTTTCTCTCTTATACTAAGAAATCCCAATTCGACATATCTCCAAGATCTTCGTCCGCCAAGACGAACGGAGAAGATGTCAGGTTATACAAAAGATGATCCGAGGTAAACCGAGAGAATATATATATTCAGCCCCTATATAGGATCCACCGGGCAACAACCCCCAGAAGTCTGGCAGCGATCGGCCACCACGTTGGCACAAGCCGCGCACCCAGTCGCGCTAAGTCGTGCCCAAGCCCATCCCAGGCCGCACAACCCGTGCAGACCTGTGTCCAGGTGCAAAAGCGCAAGTAGACTGTGAATCCTCTCTCCCAGAGTGTGCAGCCTTGTGCAGACGCTCAGCGCGCGACGCTCCCAGTGCGTAGACGTTCCCAGAGCGCGATCCTCCCAGCGCACGATGTTACCATTGACCCAACAACGTCCTAGTGCATATTTCCGCGAGTAGACCCAAAGAGACCTAAGTCGTCCGCGAGGAGGCCCGACATACCACGTGCAGTCTGCGACGCAATAGAGCACTCCCGCACGCGAGACCCGCAGACACTCGATGACACCCAGATACACTCTAGCACCAGCGTGCAGGTCCGCGTACCAATGCACCCCATCCGTACCAGAAAACCCATCAGCGACCCAGACAACCCAAAATAACCTGATAGCAACCCAATCATGGTTCGGCAGCTCGCGTGCGACGTGGTGCAATTGACAACAATTTGGCAAGGCCCTAGGCGATCTGAGACGTGACTTGGACTTCAAGAAAAGTGATGAGGCAATTGCTATGGGATGAACACCGATGAGACTCAGACGATCTCCATCAATGAAAATCAGAAATTTCTTAGAGTTGACAAAATTTTAAAATATACGCATTGAACCCTAGCTTCTAGTTTCGCTGCACTTAGGGTTTAATTCATAGATAGTCCGTGACTTACATAAATTCGACGTTCCTAACTGAGCCCCAACATTTTCGGCATGAACTTCGTCTTTCTAAAGGGATGTCTTCCAAGATGCCCCAAGAGATAGAAGACATGAAAGTAGTTCCTTATGCATCAGCAGTAGGAAGCCTCATGTATACTATGTTGTGCACACGACCAGATATCTTTTATGTCTTATTCATGGTAGCCAGATATCGAGTAATCCAAGACTGGAGCATTGGGCTGCGATAAAGCATATATTCAAGTAACTGAAAAGGAATAAGGAGTATATATTAGTTTACTGAGCAGACGAACTTCTCCTAATAGGATATACTGATTCTAACAACCAGTCAGACCGGGATGAAAGTAATTCCACCTCAGGATTTGTCTTTACTCTAGGAGATGGAGCGATAGTATGGCAGAGTATCAAGTAGAAATGCATGGCAGACTCCACCATGAAAGCCAAGTATGTCGTGGCTGTTGTAGCAAATTATTTTTATTTTACCGAGTACAGAATCGAATGATTCGTTTCCCGGGTTGATCTCTCGAGGAAGGCGGTTCGAAATTTAGAAATTGTATTGATAACACATAAAAGGAAAATAAATCCTCAAAAGATCGGTTTTTAATGAATTATCAACTAAGAAATCAAATAAACAACAATCTACCTAAAAATATAAACGACACAAAGATAAGGAAGCTAGGGAATCAAGAATAATCGCTTCTGGTTCTACACACATTTAACGGCAATCAATAACTCGGTTAAAAGGCTCGACTGATTAACTCATTTAGCGGTTTATCCTCAATAACTCTTCGTAACATGCGAATAAAAATAAACGAATTAATTAACAAAACAATTAACGCATAGACAATACGTCTCCGAATATGTCTACCCTAAACGAGCCAAATTCCACCAATTTCTCCCCTTTCGATTTTGAAATCGATTAATTCTACGACTCCTCCCCTTCCGGTTCTAAAAGTCGCTAATTCGTAGAATTAACAAACTCTAACTCAACAAATCCATATTCAATCACAAATCAAAGTGTCACTCTTTGATTATATCAACAAATTAACCTAAGTGTCACTCTTAGGTTATAACAATTTATCGAGTATGATTTTATCAATTCATAATTAAAACAACTCGTCAAGATTGAGCAATCGTCATGCACATAAACGAGAACAAATCGGAATGATTATCCCTTAACCCTAGCTAAGGAATTAGTTACGCATTTCAATCTCAACACCAACATTCACATTCAACATAGCCATAATCATCATAAGCACAATGGAAAATAAAACTTACTATTAATGTGAACTCCAATGTCAAGAACAAAATACAAGCTAATTCCAAGATGCAACAAGTCTTCAATAAGTTCTCCAAGAAAGCAAGTAAAAACTTAAGAAAGAAAGAAGAAATGGTGAAGAAGATGAAGATAGGTGAAGAGGGATAGGGGAAGAACCCCCTTGGGTGGTTCAAGGATGGGGGATCAAGATGAAGATGGAAGATGATTGATATAAGGAGAGATGGAAGAGAGTAAGTGGAAATGCCTTTTCTAATACCACAAACCGAAATCAAGGTGAAAAACCAGGTCCAAGGTTCACCATTTTCGAGCACCATCAAAACAGGCCAAAAATTGAGGAAAAGAAGAAATTGTTGTCTGCCAGGGGGGGTTAGCGCCGCAAAGAAAAAACTGGGCTGCGCGACTTTGCTTTTCGAGCTCGTTTGGGCTCATCCAAACTCGGAATTGAGTTCGGTTTTTTTCTACGCGTCGCTAACGGACCCCTCTATTCAATGATGCTTTCAAATTCAAATTTTTCCCAGAATATAATCCTTTAAAGTCTTCCAACCTTCAAAGGGTCAGTAGTTTGCTGGACTTTACGTTTTGGCCCCGTTCGGATTCGTCCGAACTCGAAATTGGATTCCGTTTTTTTCTATGTGCGGCTAAGGAACTCCTCTACGCAACCATGATTGCTCGGTTGATTTTTGGGCTAAATTCATTCTTCACGGGCTTTCCGACCTGCACACCAAAGACAAGAATAAAAATGTAGAAAACCGACAAAATATACGAAAAACACATAAAAAGCCAAAATAGAGCAAAACACACAACAAACTACAAAATGAACTAAAAACTAACAAAAAGACCTAAAACGGTGGAAAAAGAACGACAAAACAGTAACGAAAAACGTAACAAAAATGGTCACAACAGTGGCCTCAGAGGCAGCGAAGTAAACGGTTTGACTTAGGAACTTCTTTTCAGACATTAACGTGGCGTCAAGTTTGCCCACTGCGATCCCGATTTTCTATGACAATAGCGGACCAGTAGCAAACTCAAAGGAGCCACGTACTCATAGGGTGAGTAAACACATAGAGCGCAAGCCTGATACGAGGCATCGTAGGAAGACGGCATGTCGTTGTTGGCAAGATTGCATCAGAGGACAACCTGACAAATCCTTTTATGAAGAGCCCACCGGATATGGTTTTCGAGAGGCACATGGAAGGAATAAAAGTCAAGCGCATGGTGACTAGTTAGACCATTCTTTGAGAATTAGGATTGAAAGAATGTATACTTGATTTAGCCGAAGATTTATAGAGAATAAGTGGGAGTTTGTTATGATATACTGTAAAAGCTCGGCTTTCAGTTTCTGAAAATACCATTTTGAATAAAGATCATG